CCGCCATTCCTATAAATATAGGATGCCTTGGTCTCCTTGATTTTCATAGCCTTCTACTGTTCCGTGTCAGCGCTCTATTTTGAGGTTATGTTACAAAGATCTATTTTCATCAAATTGTTCATGCTTTCGGCTTATATCATCTGTTATATAACCCTAGAATTTCACGCAATTCAAAAAGAAAACATCGCAACAGCAGAGATCTGGAAATATCCCAGCATTTCTGAAGGAGTGAAAAAACTATGAGGTACAATATATAAGATATATTTGGGTATTTCTTAATCGCTGTAGATATAGTGTGGATGTTTGTTCAGTTCCTGAACTACGGAAAGTATTTAACGTTTCGGATGTATGGATATCAAAAAACCTGAATGGTTTTGCAATAATATCAATCTAAGTTGCCATAATGGTTCTGATGAACGGCAAGTAAATGAATGAATGTTTGGAAACGAGCAATATCTATGAAATTTTTGGTAGAATATGTCACCAAGTAGGTGTTTAATGGCTATCCGCAAGAGGTTTATAGGAAAAAAAACACAAGATGTGAAGTTAAATCAGTAAAATCGCATATCAATTGAAGAAAATAATATAAACATGAATAAAGGATCAACAATAGTAATTAAAAAATGATTTTTATTCAAAAATCAAACATTTCTATTAATTTTGACTGAATTATGTGTAATTTCTTAGTATTTAATAAGCTGGTGACGTTTCAAGGACAAGCTGCCATCTCATACTTTGACAATATTTTGTTTTCAACATTTCATAGGTATTGGTTGCTGAAATTTGTTGATTGGATGTTGAAGCTCATTCGCTGTATTTGACGGACTGTTATCCTATAGGTGGAAAATAACGGACTGTTAATTTGATAACCTTGGTGAAATCCACCGTTACTTAATTTAGAGCAGAGCTGTTCTGCGTGGCAGGCAGTGAAGCCATGGGTACTGTTTAACCCAAGATAAAATCCTCAATATGTATATACCTTAATCGTCGATTGGTAATATTCTCAAAACTGATTGATGTGTTTGGGTTCGTCGATTTATATATGAAGATGTGTTCACTAATATAACGGGGAATGACTCTATCAGCAAAAACACTATCACAAAGTATTAATAGGTTAGTGAGTCTTCCAAGAGGAAGTACATCTCGCAAGCGTCTATTCATTGTCTTTTGATTACTAATGATTTCGGTCTTAAACACGATAATCAAATAATCATTTTGGCCAATAGGTGTCAAGTTGTTGAAGTTATTTCTAATTAGTTCACGTATTTCGACATGAGGTTTTACAATACCTCGAAAACTGAAGTCAGAATTATCCATTTTATTTATTAGCGTGAACTCCTTGCCAATTCATCACCCATAATCAACACTTTCTTCTTTTTGATATTGTGGTCGCGCGATCTTATGATCAATTCGACGTCAACATTTGTTGTTGAAACAATATTATTTGTTGAGTTTTGCTGTCTCACGTTACTTGTATCTTTCTCTGGTTTGGAGTCGTATAGATTTTCTCCCCATATGTCGATCCCGATAGGCATTCTATATCTTTTCATTTCCTGTTGAACAGCATTGTTTTCTTCCTCGAGGATGTTGATTGTACTGACCACATTCCTACTAATTTCATTTGTCATGTCATTTAGGGCACTCAGAGAGCTGATATTCCTTATTCAGTATTGATACAGTTTCCTTTACGTTTTTTATTTCTCCTATGCTTAAAGCTTCAGAGTTAAGTGTTTCGTCTTCAAAGTCATCAGTCCGCTTTCTGAGTTTTTCGGCGAACGTTTCCCACTCCAGATCGTCCTTCTTTAAACAGGATATTTCGTGAGGCATCTGTTGATGTTCGATTTCTTTTTGATGTTCAAATTCGTCAATCTCGTCTCTTAAAGCTTGTGTTTAACCCAGATATGCCTAGCGTACAATTTAAGGTACACCGTAAACAAGTCGCGACTTGCAACGACCTGTGCTTATTTTGACGCTGTAATAGCAGTAAGTAAATCGTAACGTGCGGTTGGATGTTATCGTTGCATTGAGATTTTTTTGTGATTTTGTGAAGAAGTTTTTATTTCTCGTGACATGACTGAATATGGCATACGATTTGCATAGTAAGTAAATATATGGTCTTTACGTAAATAAAAAAATGTTTTGATTGCTTGTACCAATAAAACACAGATGCTTTTTTCCATGTATAATGCCAAATTACTTATGTTATTATTTCGGATTCACAATTGCGTCATTATATTTGAGTGTGCAAAATATTGTACGCCAGGAAAAGATATGACTGTTTCACTTTTAGGGGCTTTTCTCTGGAGGAAGCCACTGCTATGCTGGAGGATAATGAAGATGTAGTAGCAAATGTGGATATTATCACATTGATGCCTCCAAAATCAATGCTTGTGACGTTCTCACAAACGAGGACTCCGGCGATGAGAATGTAATGTCAGCTGATAATCTACCGGGTTCACAATTACTAGCACCTGCTGAGATAAACATACCTCATGAAAAGATTAGCATATCTTCATCTGATTCCAAAGATAATATTACATTGTCTGAATTGGCTTAAAAAAAAAATAAAAAATAAAAAGCTAAAGAAACGAAAAACGTACAAATGGGTGAAGGAGGATCTACCACAAGAAGTTCCAGGAAACTTCGAAGAAATTCATGAACAAAATAATTCTTCTGAGACTCCTCTTGAATGGTTTTCACTTTTTTTGACGGCGAAATTATAACACGCATAACAACTGAAACAAATAGATATGCCAGGCAAAAGAATCGCCAACAAGAGGTGCAAGAGTACGAAATAAGGGTATTTAATGGAACATTAATATTGAGTGGTTATGTCGATGTACCCCGAGAAGAATGTTCTGGGAACGTACAAGAGATGCTAATAATCAACTCACCACATAAGCGCTTACACTTGATGAATTTGAGTATATTATGTCAAATTTCCATTTAGTAGATAACTAAAATTTACAGCAAGGAGAAATGTTTGCAAAATTTAGACCTTTATTTGCGAGCCTGCATCAAAAATTTATGGAACATGGAATTTTGACAGAAATGCATAGTGTAGATGAGGCAATGGTTCCTTATTTTGGGAGACACTCATGCAAACAGTTCGATCACGGAAAACCTATACGATACGGCTATAAATTATGGGTTGGCGCATCAAGACTAGGCTACGTTTACTGGCTTGAACCTTACCAAGGGTCGTCAACCAACATTAGTAAGAATTATGCAGATTTGGGGGTTAGTGCTGGTGTGGTATTAGAGTATTACGATGCACTGAGGAGAAAATGGCCAAATGAAAAATTTCATTTAGTTTTCGACAATATTTTCACTTCTCTCCCTCTTATGGTAAAATTGACAGAACAAATTTCTTTGCGACTGGTACTGCTAGAGTAAAAGGCGTCCAATTCAGAGATTCTAAAATTATGGAAAGGGAAAAAGAGATAGTTATGATTAATACAAAATTTCCGATACAAACATAATTGCAGTAAAATGGCATGACAATAATTTAGTAACACACTGTTCAAATGCCGCAGGATTTCAACCAATTCGCTTTGTAAAGCGATACTCTCAAAAGAATAAAAAAAGTATTCAGGTAAGAAACACGATCTGCAAGAAAATCAATGTTTTCAAAAATGCTTTTGATTTTAGGTGGAACAGCCTCATCTTGTAAATGTATACAACGCAAATATGGGCGGCGTTGATCGTTGTGATCAAAATATTGGTCTGTATCACATTTCCATCTGGGGTAAAAAGTGGTATTTTTCATTGATCAGCCACTGTATTGATACGGCTGTTGATAATTCCTGGCAACTTTATAGATCGCACAGCCTTGTTACAACAAAACAAGAAACCGCCATCTTTTTGTAGATGACGTCCTTCGGTTAATGAATATATACGTATAGATAATCGATATGATCGTTTAGATCATTTTGTGATACCACAAGGAAAGCCAGCCAGCAACAAGGTGCTCTAAGTGCAATGTAGGGATGCATGTAAAATGTTTTTTGTCCTTCCATACTAAACCTTAATGTTCGCCTATGTGCCTAGTGTACCATATTTTGTACGGCATTTTTTTACACTTTTTTCTATAATAAAATTTAAAAAATAATAAATTTGTTTAATACTTGCTTCATATAGAATGAATTTGCAGAGAACATACTTTACATATATAATTTATTTGAGCTGTAGGCATAACTGGGTTAATTTGTTAGTTTTCCTCAAACAGCTTTTCCATATCCAAAGCTTTTTCGTCGCATGCCTGTTCACATGATTGGGAGCATTATATTCTGAGATCATCTATTACCGTAATTTTTCTAGTTCGTGTCGCACAACCACCATGGAAAAAGCCTTGACAGCCGGTACAAAGAAAATATTTGACGGACTTGCTGCAGAATCTGAACTTGTATGGGTGTTCCATCGTCCATAGACCTAGCGCAAAAATACGCGACTCGGGCTGAAGAACGTGTTACATTCTGAAGAAAAATACTCTGCTTATCTGCTGTTTATTATCTCATCAAAGCAAAGGCACCAATCTTCCGTGAAAATCAACAGTTTTGACCTCATAATTCAACCTTCATATAACGCTGATTTGAACCAAGCAGCATCACATATACACGTCACACACTCACGTTTTCTTTTTAGTTGAATTTTTGCTACGATCACCGGCTCGTCATGGTGACATTGTTTTTCGTGATGTAATGTCATATTACATCCAAAAAACGTATATCATTTTCGAAAAATTTCACCAATACTTCTTCGCCGGTGTGCGGGAAAAAAACATGACTGTTAAAGGTGACCAACTATAAGTCTCAAGAAACTCGAAGGGATACGGTGTACACCTATTGATTGATATTGCTTTCAGATGGTTACCTCTAACTTAAATTCATGTTCACGGCGAGAACGTAACACGTTTCACGTTTTTACTTAGTCATGCTGGCATACGGGTGATTTATATCGACTATTAGCTATAGGGTAATAAAACCTATCAATCAACGTACCTTGACAAGAAGTGCCACTATAAAAACTAGCATCAAATGCATGTTCTCTGGATAACATCTCACCTGATACTGTTGAAAGAAATCACTGAACTTCAAATTTATTATCTATACTTTTGCGTATTCCATTGTCTCCTAAGTCTTACGGGATCCGGTTGACAAACATACATGTATTTATCTCTCAAAAAATAGTCAAATAAAGGGTTCTTATATTATATATACGAGGGCGTTTCAGTAAATACCCAGAGGGCGCTCCTGAGGGAAGTTAATGTTATCATCGTGTGCTGCCATTTATCAGACGACAACACAACAAATTTTAGACTGACTGATAGGTTAGTTTGGATTTGGCAGCCATTCGAGTAACACGTGAAGATGGAAAAAGAGCAGTATAGTTCGGTAATTCGCTTTTTGTTTTTGGATGGGAAAAATGAGGGCAGATAAAGGCAAAGTTGGACGCACTTTATGACCACAGTTAGATATTGATTTGGTTATTTAAACGTGGGCGAACATCCGTTATTGATGAGGATCGACCAGGACGCCCAGCAGACGTGGTTACCGAGGAAATCATTAAAAAAGTCCACGACATGATTCTCGCTGATCGACGAACTAAAGTGCGCGAAGTAACAGAGGCCGTAGATGTGTCGACTGGAACAGCAATCAATATTTTGCATGATAAGTTGGCTATAAAAAATTGTCGGCCCGATGGGTTACGCGATTGCTCTCGGTGGACAACAAGCGGATGCGGCTGTTAAGCTCGAAGTAGTGCTTCGAGCAATTTAAGCGAGATCCGAAGGAATTTTTGCGCCAAGTTGTCACCGTTGATGCAACCTGGATTCGTCATTACACACCAGAAACTAGTCGAGGATCAAAACAATGGATTTCTCCCGGTGGATCTGCTCTAATGAAGGGGAAGACGGTCTCATCGACCGGAAAGGTCATGGCGATGATTTTTTGGGATGCGAACGGCGTCATCCTCGTCGATTTTTTAGAAACAGGAAAAAACGATCACTGGACAATACTATAGTTAGTTGTTGCACCGCTTCAACAAAAAGTTGAAGGAAACACGTCCACATTTGACGAAAAAGAAGGTGCTGTTCCACCATTCATCCGGATTGTCACCGCCAAACTGGATGAGCTGCGTTATGAAGTGCTGCCGCGTATTCAACTGACTTTTTCTTGTTCCCTGACATGAATAAATGGCTCGCCGGGAAAAATTTAGCTCTAACGAGTCATCGCCGAGACAGAGACGTATTTTCGAGAGTTCGACAAATTCCATTTCTGGCAGCAACTTGTCACGTGCCAAAATCACGTAACCTTCTTTTTTTACTGTTTTGAGCACTAATGAGTAATTTGAATTCCTATTTATTGATTATAGAGTGATCATTCATAGACCAAACCGGTTTTAATGATTTTATTTTGTCAAATTCCACAGTTTATTGTTTGTAAAATTTCACGCGTATTACATATGTCATTTTCAGCGACTCAGTATAGTTTTGAAATCTCTTGGACACTAATGTTATAGTATTATTAACTACTAACTTAGAAACTTCCCCATAAAATATTGTTGGTTCCTCGTAGACAGATCTGTTTCTACCTACAGTCTGCCTATCGGCAAGCAGCGCATCATGGTATGATGTTTACACGTACTAGCCATATACGAGTGTTTACCTTCCTATCAAGATACCTTCTTTACCGGCTTTTATCTGTCCCTTTTGATGTTCTGTCGAACGTGCCTTCTGCAGGGCCACTTATTCAACCTTATTTTACGGGATTGCGTGCACAGACGATCCAGCGCCATTTTACTTGCTGCTGTAGTTTTGGTTGTGTGCGGGCGTTTTTTTTTTGTTAACTCTCAGAATTTGGGATACTAACGCTCCAAGCACCAGTTGATGGAGTAGTACCCTTTTAGTTTGTACGTTTAGTTGTGTTGGTTAGGGTAGTACCCGCTCTAATGGGATTTAACCTCCAGCGTAGAAAGCCGTTGTGGAGAACCATCATTCATACTCCTCTACATTCGAATTGTAGCTGCTTTGTAGCTATTTCGCAGCCTATTTTGTTAGAAGTCATTCCTTTCCTTTGACAAAAACCCTGATGTGAACAGGTAAAACATCATTTTAACTGGGTATTTCATATATAGATATTGATATATTGATTATTGCTGATTGAAATTCTTTGTATAATCTTGATTTTGTTTGGCATTTTACGAATTTAAATATGGGGTAGCGCCTACGTGTCACTGTCTTTTGGGCTTGTTACATTACATTAATTATGATTTTGAATTTTGAGCTACCATAACTTATTTTAGAACAAGGGATAACTTTCTGAGGGTATATCACTTTTGTAAATTTTTATCTTTTCTTGAAGAAAAGTAGTTTTCTAGTAATAGAAAATGTACATGGATTTTGGGTCAAGTTTGAGTGTTTTAAATGAGTAGTTCTGTCTCAGACATAGAGTAGAGAGTAAGATTCTTAAACAGCCTTTTTCTCTCTTTAGGGTTTTTTTATACCGTAAATTTTGGAAACGAGGCAAGCAGCCCCTACCTTGTGACGTTCCTAACGTCACTGCTCATGGCCACTAGTCTTTGACCTGAGCGCTTGTGAGCTGAGGACATCTCAGCTGTACCTAGAGCTGTATCTGGAAAAAGACCATTATCCAGATATCACCGTTGTCCAGATAAGTTTAGGTTTAGGCGTTCAACTATTTGTAAGGCCTATATTTGTGAACCACGTACGTGTACCATGGTAAACGTTTTGCAGGGTTTGTTTTTACGGTCTATTAATTTTATTGTCAGGAAGTTTTTAATAACATCCTTTCTTTCAACTTGCATTCCAGTGGTGTGATTCTTTTTTTAAATATCTTGTTTTATTTGGCTCTCTGTGTACAATTAATTAGGTTTCATCATTAGTATTAGATTAGTTTCTTTGTGTGGTGCTCAGGCAAGACAAGTTCCGACTAACAACTCGGGGATTTGTGGTTCAATCCGTCTTGTGTCACTGACGCTCTTAACGCCCTCCTAATATCCGCTTTATTGAGCTAGGGTCTAAATTTGTACACCACTTGTCAGCTGTTTTGCATTGACTGATCCTTAGATTTCATTTATAGTAATTTATTAATTCATTAATTTATTTAACTTAAAAAAGGAAAGAGGAAGCACCCCACCATTTCCTCTTATTTATAAAAAAAGGCGTGTCAAACTTTGGGAAAAGTGTATCTTTCTAAAAGGGGATTATGTTGAAAAATAAAAAGAAATTTTTTGTAATAAATGGTGTCCTCATTTCTAACACGGGTACTATTTGAACCGCCCTAGTATATATGTATATACATCTCGTCATCGGTAAAAAACTACACTACTTTACAGGAAGATTATGGCTTAGAACATATTGGTTGAAGCATTTTTATGTTTTGTTTTGGTTGTAGTAGTAGTATGCTTTATTTTTTCTTTAATAGGCAGTCTGACAATTGTTGTACCAAGTTTGCTCCTTCTGCTCAGTTGGAATGCATCCAGATGAGATACGGGTATGTAGGTGTATCTCTTACCTAATGCATAGCAGCCTCACTGACCACTAAGTATTAAAGAAAGCTTTTCTCATACTTCAAGTTACTAACACATGCATTGAGGTATCTTACCATATGGATACAAATATACCAAGTGACATATAAATCCGAACACCCAGTTTAAATGGTTTTATTTTAATAAAATTTTGTATAAGTACTTAGTGAAGCATAATAAGTAAATGATGAAAATTTCAAAATGATTGCACTGCTTTAAAGCCCTTTGACCTTTAATAATGTGTTGATGCACCCTGATGTGCTACGCATTCTCCAACGCGCCTAGGCATGCTTCTGATCAGGTGGTCAATGTCCTCCTGTGGTATCTCATTCCAGGCAACCACCAACTCCTCTCGAAGTGCTTCTAGAGTCTGAGGAGGACGTTGCAAATTAAGCAATCTCCTACCCATCATATCCCACACGTGCTCTATTGGGGATAAGTCGGGAGATCTTGGTGGTCATGAGAACAATGTGACATCATTATGTTGAAAGAAGTCTATTGTGACTCTTGCAACATGTGGTCGGGCATTATCTTGTTGGAAAGTTGGATCTGCAGGGTGTCAAGAAAGGGTAAAAGCTGGGGTTCTAGAACTTCGTGGATATAACGCTGCGCGTTCATGTTACCTCTGATAAAGATTAAAGATGACCAGGAACAATAAGCTATAGCACCCCAAACCATAGCTCCAACAGTGTGATGAACATGTCTTTCAACAAAAAACTGTGGATTCCTCCTTTCACCACGTCGCCTTCTAACCCTGGCACGACCATCGTGCATGCCTAAACAAAATCGAGACTCGTCACTAAAGACAATACTGTTCCATTCCTGATCCCAGAGTGACCGTTGTCTGCACCACTCAAGGCGATTACGTCGGTGTTCTCGAGTTAAAGGGAGGACCCAGTGTGGCCGGTATGAAAACAAGCCAGAACTTCTCATTCGTCGGTAAACACTTCGCATGCCAACAGGTCTTTCGTGTTCTGCAAACCATTCATTTAAAATGGACCTGGTAGTGGAGAAACGGTCCCTTAAGGTCAATAATCTTAGGTGGCGATCTTCACGGTCTGTTGTTCTACGGCGGCGTCCAGTGCCGCTTGCTCTTTGCGTACGGCCTTCCCGAAGCCATGCCTGACAACACCTAACCACAGTGTCTACACTTCTTTGCACTCTAACTGCAATTGCCCGAAAAGAAGGTCCAGCTTCCCGAAGTCCCACTATACGGCCCCTATCAAACTCACTAAGTTGACGAAAACGCACAGGTCTCCGTACTCTAGGCATCGCAACCGATCGTAAAGGATGTCAAGAACCAAAATCCGCCAACGTTGATTCTTTACTGCGGCTGAAATATTCATTTTTAGAGCGTTAGTGAATTAAAAAGCAGTATAACAACCGGAATGTCCAACTGATAAGGCTGAAAATTTTTTCACTTGTTATTTACAGTAAGACAAAAACATTCACCAACTTTTATTAAAATAAAACCATTTAAACTGGGTGTTCGGATTTATGTCACTTCGTATAGTAT